CTCTTGCCCAAAAACCCTGATCATCGTCGTAGCGATCGAACAACCCGCAATCACACCGTGATCTCCAAACACTGGGGGAGCCACGACCCCGCACAAAACCATAAAACGAGCCGATCGGTATCCAGCCAGACAGACCGCCATCAGCACAGGAGGAAAATTAAGCCTCTGGCCGCGCGACTCCAGCAGGGCCAAAGGAATCTGCTCGTAGTATTTCAGCATATCGTAAAAAATAGCACCGGCATGCTGGCCTGAAGATGTGCTGCGCTCAGCCGAGACCGACTGGCGCCACACCACGTCCGATGCCGACCTATGCTTTCCCGCGGCCCAGTAGGGCCTGTCGTTGGCTTCCTCCCAGGCCACAGCATAGGGTCTCCGAATGCGGCCCCAGATCCGAAAGGGGCTCGAAAAAAACCCGATGGGGCGGAAACCAGGGACCGACTTCGGGATCATGGCCATGATCAAGGCCCGAAGTTGTCGGGGAAGCATACCTGCCGACTCGACGATCACGAACATCCTCCCTAGGCACCCCAGGGACTCGTCGGAGAGAAACTGATAGTGCCGAAGGTGGAGGCCGTCCAAGCCGACAGCCGAGCGCCTCGAGTAGGACCGCGAGGCCGTGCGAAACTCGTCCACTGTGATCAGCGGCAGTGGCTCGAGCTTGCAACACCGAAGCCGAGGAGGGGCATCGACTGCCCGCCACAGCTTACCAAATCTGTCACTCTCTTGCTTCAAGAGGGCCTGAGGGTCACTAACCAGGGCCCCAAACCGACTCAAGGTGGAGGTGGGCCTCCAGGCCGCGGGGTCCTTGGAGACCTGGTGGGCCCGACGGGCTCCCTGGTTGATCCCGTCCAGGAGCCAGGAGGCCCAATCGGACCTGGCGATTTTGGAAAATTCCTCGGGACAATTTTTGTTGGCCTCTTGAAGCTGTGTATGAACCGCGTCCAGGCAGGCCTTGCACTCGTCGGGGTCCGCGCCCCGCAAGCTGGCCACAGAGGAAGCGGCGGTGTACGCAGCGGCGTAGCTACCTTGGTGTTCCGCCACACAAGCAGGGGGCGAAGCCAGGGCAGCCTGCGCCTTAGCGAAATCCGAGGGATGCTTGTCGGGGCCCGACCGCACCAGACGATAAAATATTAAGAAGTTGGACCAGAGCCATCTCATGCTGTGGAGCACAGGGTAACGGACCGAGCCGTGGTCGCGACCCAGGACGGGCCTCCACCACATCTCGACTCCTTTGCCCCGTGCCCCAAAATATGGGATGGTCGTGCCCATCGCATTGCACAGTTCTCGCTCGGCCGTGTTGGCCCATTGCTTGTAGGCAGCAGAGAGAAGAGAGTCCAACACGTCAACATCCCCCCTCTGGGCCCTAACCAGGGCCTTGTCCAAGAGGGCCGAGCACTTACCGTAACATGGGGGCTCGGGCGAAGGACCGATCGGGGGATGCACAGCGATCGGGGGGGGGCTTGCGAAACGAGAGGACGTGAAGATTGGCAATTCCGACGTGGAATTGGATCCGAACGGGCAGGTGGGGGTGGAACGTGCTCCCATCAAAATTCTTAGAGACTGAGCTGGCGGCCTTCGCGAGGCCGCCCGACAGAACGAAGAAGTCGTAGCACTTGGGATCGCCAGTGCCGTAACACGTGGGCCCGTCCGCCCCCGCCAACTGGCCCCTGGGGTTGTGAACGAACTCGCTCTCGTGGAGCGTGGGCGGCTCGAGATTGAAGTCGCCGCCCATCAGGAAGGGTATCCCAGAGGTCGAAAAATGAGCACCGAGGGCCCCAAGGATGTCGAGGTTCGCTTCGCTGAGCCCTTCAGAGTCCCGAAGGTAAAGAGAGGAGAGGAGGATGGCCTGGCCCTCTGGGGGGTGGGCAACTCCAACCACGGCCCTGTGGGGCCATAGCTCAGCAGAGCCCAAACTATGCAAGCCTAGCCAGCTACGGGCCAGGATGGCAACACCGCAGGAGGGGCCTCCCCCCTCTCCAAGGGTTCCTGGGACCCAGAGGGATTTCCAGCCGTGCCTGAAACAAAAAGCTGATGCCACTTCGATGGCATCCCCAGCCTGGAGCTTGTGCTACTGGACAAGGAGAACGTGGGCCGAACACCTGGGAAGCCAGTCTCTCACCGACGACCAAGCGTTGCCGTTGACAGTTTCCACGGCCAGGGAAAATTCTTCCGAGGGGGGGGGCTTCGGGGACTGCCGCGCAGCCGCGAGCGTCAGCTCCGAGATTCCAAGCATCTCGCCGTGCAGCCAGGGGAGTACGATGCGCCCCCTGAATTAACGTCGTGTCACCACTCGCATGAATTGGCAAAATTACACGAGCTAGATTCTTCACGGAAGGATTGGAGCAACCGTGCTGCGGAGCCGCCGAGACCGACGGCACCGAGCCACAACGAATATTTCGCGCATTGGGGCCGTACAGAGAGGAGCCAGGCATGCTGCAGAGCTTGACCCTGTCAAGAATGGCCGAAACAAATTCCGATTCGATGCCCCCCGCTTCACATCGAGACGTCAAGCGGGGGGGCGCCTTTGCTAGACGCCTTGTTGGCTGCCAGAGCGCGCGCTGCCTCGCGCAACTTGGCCAGGTCAGGCGGTGGAGGTGCTGCCGAAGATCCGCTGGCAGCCTGACCAGTGCTGGCAGTAGATCCCGTCGACGGAGCCGAAGGAGCCGACGTCGGAGCTGGCTGAGCTGCTGGTTCAGCTTGGGCTGCCTGTCCAGGAGCGGGTGCGCCATCAGCAGGTTGCCCTTGCCCATCAGCTTCAGCAGCAGGAGCTCCGTCCTCACCTCGACGACGCTTGGCCTTGAGGCGCTGGGTCTGCTCAACGTGCGCCGCCTTGGCTGCCTGCACCGACTCCATCGCCTTGGCGAAAAGGTCCTTGGCCATGGTGTTGAAACCGCTGGCCAGCTGCTCCTTCCGCCTGTTGACCTCCACAATGTCCGCCTCCTCGAGCGTGCCGACCTCGGGGTCGATGTCCAGCAGGTCGCCGACGTCCAGCTCGAAGGCGTCGATCTTGCCTGCCAGGAGCTCGGAGAGCGACACGACAGGTTTGCTGGCGTCGGGGTGCTGCTTGCGCAGCGAGTGTACCTTCTCCGAGAGCTCGTCGTGCTTGGCGTCCAGGCCGTCCATCTCCTTGTTGATCTGGACGATGAGGGACTCCTGAGCGGCGACTTTGAAGCGAAGCTCCTCGAGATTGCCGAACTCCCAAGACATCTTCTTCCCCAGTTTGAGCCGCTTGCGCTGGCAACGTGCGAGCTGTTCTTCAAGTGATTCCTCAGCCTTGGGCGGCTTCTTGAGCGCAGCCAGCTGTACTTGGTAGCGGTTGGCCTCCGTCGAATTGCCCACCTTGAGGAAAAGCTCGACGAAGGTCTCCAGCTCTTGAACCGAAAGCTGGGTGACGTTGGGAGGAGGGCCAGGCTGAACCACTCCTCCTTGCGGACCTGGGACCAGGGCGGGGGAGTAGAAGTAGCCAGGTGGTGTCCACACAGCGCCTCCGTGCCCCTTGCCCTTGCCCTTGGACGGCTTGCCTCCGCCCTTGTGCGCGCCCTTGCCGTTGCCGCCGCCCTGGAAGCCCTGGTACTGCAGCCCTGGCGAGAGAGCGGGAGCAGGCCTCCAACAACAGCGTTCTGAGCCCAAACACCAGCAGGAGGAGAGGGATCAGCAACTTTCGGGGCGTTCCAGGCCGTGCCGTAGTGCTTGCAGACGTGGCTCGCCATCTTGTTCTTGGCGCAGCCGCATGAGCTGCACTTCCATGTATTGCTTCGCTGGAACGGTGGGCCTTGGCGCCAAGGGGAGTCTGCAATGGCATCTCCCGCGGGCGCTGGGCTCATCCGCGGCCGAGCCATGGAGGGGATGCGCCCCCTCGGCCTGACTGAAAAGCTGAGGATCGATTGCCGTGAAGCCAAAGGCCCGCAACAGCAATGCCGTTCTGAAATACGCGGTTGCAAGTCCAGGCGCAACACCTGGGCCAGAACGGCTTGAGCCAAAATGGCTACGGAAGACCGAAGGAGGAGGAGGAGGAGGAGGAGGAGGAGGAGGAGGAGGAGGAGGAGGATGGGAGGAGGAGAGGAGGAGGAGGAAAGACGGGAAAAAGAGGAGGCGGGGAAGACGGGAAGGAGGAGGAGGAGGAGGAGGGAGGAGCATGAGGAGGAGGGAGGTGGAGGAGGAGGAGGAGGAAGGGAGAGGGAAAGAAAAAGGGAGGAGGAGGAGGATGAGGGAGAGGAGGAGGGAGGAGGAGGAGGAGGAGGAGAGAAGGAGGATGAGGAGGCAGGTTGAGGGGAGAGGATGAGGATGAAGGAGAGGAGGAGAAGGAGAATTACGACGAGGACGGAGAATGAGGAGGAGGAGGATGAGAAGGAGAAGGAGGAGGAGAGAAGAGGACGAGGAAGACGAGCCCGTTCCTGTTCCGCCCTCGCGGAGATCCAGGTTCCAGCCAGCAGCAATGTCCAAGATACGCTGCGTGCCCCGTAAGCTTCCACCTCTTTCTCCTCCTGCTTCTTTTCTCCTCCCCCTCCTCCCTCCATCCTCCGCCTCCTGCTGCCTTTCCCATCCTCCTCCTGCTGCTCCTGCTATATCTTTTTCCGGATCCCTCCTCCTCCTCCTCCTCCTCCTCCTCCTCCTCCTCCCTCCTCCTCTCCCCCCTTCCTCCCTATATCCTCCTCCTCCTCCTCCTCCTCCTCGTCGTCCTCCTCCTCGTCGTCCTCCTCCTCCTCCTCCTCCTCCTCCCTCTTCTTCTTGCGGACCTGGGAGAACACGCGATGCCCTGCAGCAACTCTGCCCGCTGGCGGGAGAACCAAAGCCGCGGCCGCGGCCACGACCGCAACCACTGCCCGCCTCTCGGGTGCGTGCTGGCTCCAGCACCGCAGCTGCTGTGGCCCAGTCCGAGCTCCGACCACTTCAGAATTGTGCAGGAGGACGGGGACCACCCCTTTTTCACTGCAATCAACATAACATCAACATCTGTCAACACTACGAGCGTGGTTCTGCGACAGCAGGGTGCGCATGTGCGTATGTCAAGGCAAGGTGCGTATGCGCAGATATGTTCCGACGCATGGGGACACCAGAGGACGAGGACGAACTGAACACCCGCTGCTATTTTCCGCCATGAGCGCTCGAGCAGATTGATGCACTGACGCTTGTCACGCAGGGCGGGCCCGCGCGCATGCGCACGCTGATAGGCGAGGGGTTGGAAGAGAGTGCCCCAGAGAGCGCGGATCAGAAGCCGAAGGGGTCACAACCACGCCCAAGGGTTGGAGATATCGGCGCGTGCTCGGCGCTCCTCTGGCCATTGCCCACCCTTCTCATGCGCACTGACGCTGCCAGCGCGTAGCTGATCCCCACTTCTCTCGCACGCGCCGAGGCCAACAGTGTAACCGATTACCCCCATCTCTAATATCACTTCCCCGACTTCACTAATCGGCCAACGATAGAAGCCATTGTCCACATTCTCGCACGCTCTTGTGCCGACATTGTGGCAGACAAGTGCGTACTCGTGGATTCAATCCACGGTCAGCGTACGCAGCTGTCCTTTAGGATGCCTGTCTCTTGGAACCTTCTCGCTTCACTCTCTCTCCTCCTCCTTTTCCCTCTCATGCTCCTCCTGGCTTCTCCTCACCATACATGCCTCTTGTTCCTGCCATGCCCCCCACCTCCTCCTCCTCCTCCTCCTCCTCCTCCTCGCTTCTATCCTCCTCCTCCTCCACCTCCTCCTGCTCCTCTTCCGTATCCGTCTCCTGCTCCCTCTGCGGCCAATCTGGTGGATTGTGTGCTCCCCCCAGCTGATTGGGAGACAACTGGGGAAGGGCCCTCCCAGATCGTCTTGGAGCCGTTCTGGGGCTCTTTACGGGCCCCGTGGACTTCGTCATGGGTCTCCTGGGACCCTCTTGGGCAATCTTGGAGCCCTCTTGGGCCAACATAAGACGCTCTTAAGCTGTCTAGCACCTTCGGAAGTCGTATCTGAAATCTCTCCGGGTCGTCTTGTACGTCTCTGGGGGTCCTCTCAGGCCGTCTTGGGTCTCTCTCTTGGCAGGAGCGGTTAGCAGGAGCGGTTATGGCGGAGGAGAGCGACGACGGGGAGGAGAAACAATGCCCAAGACGATGGGAAAACGCCATATCCCACACCTCTAGGGATACGCTCGGCGCGGGAAAGGTCGCAGCATCAGTGCTCCTGGGCGTAAGCGGATGCCGGACAACTACTTTCTGCAACCCCTCCCGCGCGAGAGGTGTCCCAAAAGGTGTGGGTTGCTGTTTTTTCCGGTCATCTGGTGCTTCCCAGGAGCCTATCGGAACCGTTGGGAGGGAGCTGCTGGAGGCCTTCCAGGAGCCTGTGGGGCTTTTTTCCCCACATCCTGAGTGGGGTTCTTGTTTTCCCAGAACATCCTCTCCTCCTCCTCCTCCTCCTCCTCCTCCTCCTCCTCCTCCTCCTCCTCCTCCCGCTTCCTCCACCATCCCATACTGTATCATACCATACCAATACCATGCCACTCCATACCATACCTTACCATACCATACCATGCATCCACCATCCCATACCATACCATGCCTTTCCTCACACCATGTTATTTATCAGGTTTCGTGCCCCTCCCACCCCTCCAGGGAGGCCCCGCCTGAGCGAGCAGGGTATTCGCACACCATGTTATTTATCAGGTTTCGCGCCCCTCCCACCCCTCCAGGGAGGCCCCGCCTGAGCGAGCAGGGTATTCGCACACCATGTTATTTATCAGGTTTCGTGCCCCTCCCACCCCTCCAGGGAGGCCCCGCCTGAGCGAGCAGGGTATTCGCACACCATGTTATTTATCAGGTTTCGCGCCCCTCCCACCCCTCCAGGGAGGCCCCGCCTGAGCGAGCAGGGTATTCGCACACCATGTTATTTATCAGGTTTCGTGCCCCTCCCACCCCTCCAGGGAGGCCCCGCCTGAGCGAGCAGGGTATTCGCACACCATGTTATTTATCAGGTTTCGAGCCCCTCCCACCCCTCCAGGGAGGACCCGCCTGAGCGAGCAGGGTATTCGCACACCATGTTATTTATCAGGTTTCGTGCCCCTCCCACCCCTCCAGGGAGGACCCGCCTGAGCGGGCAGGGTATTCGCACACCATGTTATTTATCAGGTTTCGTGCCCCTCCCACCCCTCCAGAGGGGCCCCGCCTGAACGAGCAGGGTATTCGCCACCATGTTATTTATCAGGTTTCGTGCCCCTCCCACCCCTCCAGGGAGGGCCCGCCTGAGCGAGCAGGGTATTCGCACACCATGTTATTTATCAGGTTTCGTGCCCCTCCCACCCCTCCAGGGAGCCCCGCCTGAGCGAGCAGGGTATTCGCACACCATGTTATTTATCAGGTTTCGTGCCCCTCCCACCCCTCCAGGGAGGCCCCGCCTGAGCGAGCAGGGTATTCGCACACCATGATATTTATCAGGTTTCCTGCCCCACCCATCCCTCCAGGGAGGCCCCGCCTGAGCGAGCAGGGTATTCGCACACCATGCTATTTATCAGGTTTCGTGCCCCTCCCACCCCTCCAGGGAGGCCCCACCAGAGCGGGAAGGGTGTTCGCACACCATGTTATTTATCAGGTATCCTGCCCATCCCACCCCTCCAGGGAGGCCCCGCCTGAGCGAGCAGGGTATTCGCACACCATGTTATTTATAAGTTTTCGTGCCTCTCCCACCCCTCCAGGGAAGCCCAGCCTGAGCAAGCAAGGTATTCGCACACCATGTTGTTTATCAGGTTTCGTGCCCCTCCCACCCCTCCAGGGAGGCCCCGCCTGAGCGAGCAGGGTATTCGCACACCATGTTATTTATTTTGTTTCGTGCCCCTCCCACCCCTCCAGGGAGGCCCCACCAGAGCGGGCAGGGTATCCGCACACCATGTTATTTATCAGGTTTCGTGCCCCTCCCAACATTCCAGGGAGGCCCCGCCAGAGCGGGCAGGGTATTCGCACACCATATGATTTATCAGGTTTCATGCCCCTCCCACCCCTCCAGGGAGGCCCCACCAGAGCGGGCAGGGCATTCGCACACCATATTATTTATCAGGTTTCGTGCCCCTCCCGCCACTCCAGGGAGGCCCCGCCAGAGCGGGCAGGGTATTCGCACGCCATATTTTATTATTAGGTTTCGTGCCGTTCCCGCCCCTCCAGGGAGGCCCCACCAGAGCGGGCAGGGTATTCGCACACCATGTTATTTATCAGGTGTCGTGCCCCTCCCACCCCTCCAGGGAGGCCCCACCAGAGCGGGCAGGGTATCCGTACACCATATTATTCATCAGGTTTCGTGCCCCTCCCACCCCTCCAGGGAGGCCCCACCAGAGCGGGCAGGGTATTCGCACACCATATTATTCATCAGGTTTCGTGCCCCTCCCACCCCTCCAGGGAGGCCCCACCAGAGCGCAGACAAGAAGCAATGGATCACCGTAACATCTTTATGTGGGGAACTCCGTTAGCATAATTTTTCTCCATTAGCTGAGGCTTTCTAAGAGCATGCATGGCCGTGGGTGGCTCGACCCCGAGCCACCACGGCGCGGGAGGCGCGGTGGCGCCTGCGCACGCCCCCGGGCGGCCGGTGCTCCCCACAGCGGGAGCACGAGGTCTGCCGAGAGGGAGGAGGAGGAGGAGGAGGAGGAGGAGGAGGAGGAGGAGGAGGAGGAGGAGGAGGAGGAGGAGGAGGAGGAGGAGAGGAGGAGGAGGAGGAGGAGGAGGAGGAGGAGGAGGAGAGAGGAGGAGGAGGAGGAGGAGGGGAGGAGGAGGAGGTGGAGGAGGAGGAGGAGGAGGAGGAGGAGGAGGAGGAGGAGGAGGAGGAGCAGGAGCAGGAGGAGGAGGGGGGGATGGGGAAGAGCGCTCCAGAGTAGGCCCTGTTGGGCCTCCCTTGGGGCTGCCTCGGGGTCCCTGGAGCTGTCTTGGGGGTCTCCGGGGCCGTCGCTGGGGCTCTCTTGGAAGCTCCCCGGGCGCCCCGGGGGCGATTTGCGAAGCTTCTCGGGGTGGGTTGGGCGTCTTTTGGCAGGAGGAGCGATCTTAAGAGGAAGTCAGAGAACGCCTCGAACACCTCACCAGTCCTCTGGGCGTGAGCGGTTTAGAGAGTTTCCTCTTCAACCCTCCTCCCGCCCCTTCGGGGAGCACTGTCACTGTTATTCCTTACTATGCGTCCCCTCTCCCACCCGACCAACGACAAACCTGGGACCATGCAGGCCCCCCCGCCATCCCCTTCCCCAAAAACTCAAAATGCACTTTTGCACCAAAATCTGGATCATGCGGCGCGGGTGCCCCGCGATCACTTTGCATGGTTTTTGGGAGGGACGGCAAGGGTGCCGGCATTTTGCTTGCTGCGTGTAATGCCAACACCCCCCATTATCCTTTGCAGAAACAATGGGACATGCACTTTGCAGCAAAATTTGGATCATGCGCGGACGCTCCGCGATCACTTGGACTTTGCTTTTGGCAGGGACGGCGGGGGGGCATATTGTCTGCTGTGTGTCCAGTGCCAATAACTCCCAACCATCCCTGGACCAAACAAATGCACAGCGCACTATGCACCAACACCTGGATCATCCGCGGACGCCCCGCGAGCACTTTGCACTGGTTTTTGGCAGGGGCGGCGGGGGGACCAGCATATTGCCTGCTGTGTACGGGTCCACCGTCCCCTTCCACCAACAAAAATACAGCGCTCACTTTGCCAGGGACGGGGGAGGCGACATACTGCCTGCGGTGTGCAGGCCTGCTGTCCAAGCCAAACGCCACAGAGCGATTGTGGGTGCACACGGCTTTTGCCTGCGGAGGCTCAACAGAGGGCACAAAACAAGCAGTCAGTCCCTGGCACACCCACGCAGAGGTTCCCACCCACAAACAATACACAATGCTCGTGCCCCCCCTCGCTTTGCATTGGGTTTTGAAAGGGATGGTGGGGCGGTCGACGTATTGCCCAATGTGGAGCACCCAGTGCGCGTGGCGCACCTAGCACGTGCGGCGCACCTCGCGGGCATCGCGCACCTGGCTGGCGTCTGCATTGTTTCCCGATGGTTGCCGATGGCGGACCCTCCGCGACCCATTGGAGCATCCAAGAAGGCATCGGCTACAAGGCAAACATCATTGATTTTGCTTAGGTTTTGGGTGCATTTTTTCCTCCTGGGGGGGCAAGGCTAATTGACTACCCCCCTTTTTTAATCGAACTCCTCCAGGATGGCCTCAAGATGGCCCCCCAGGTTTCCATTAGTGCCCCAAGAGGGGGCCGAGAGGCGCCGAGGAGGCCCCAAGAGGCCCCCAAGAGGTCCCCAAGAGGCTCCCAAGAACCCCCCAAGAGGCTCTCCCGAGGCACCCGAGACGCTGCAAGAGGCTCCCGGGGCCGCCAAGACGCCCCAAAAGGACTCCAAGAAGCTCTCACGCAAGAGACTCCGAGAGGCATTCATGTGGCCTCTGGCTTTTCTGCTCGCTCTCCTCCTCTTCCTTCCCCTCCTCCTCCTTCTCCTCCTCCTCCTTCTCCCCTTCCGCACCCGCCTATTCCCTCCTCCTCCCCCCCCCTCCTCCCTCCTCCTCCTCCTCCTCCTCCTCCTCCTCCTCCTCCTCCTCCTCCTCCTCCTCTGATTCCTCCTCTTTATCCTCCCCCTCTTGAGGTGTGACGGCTTCCCCAGCCGTGTATGCCACTGCCTGCTCCTCCGCATCCCTAATCAGGGCGATTCGCCTGGGCATCGTTTCTGGATGGGCCGCTGAGTCTGCAGAATGCGTCCAGAATGCCGACCGTTCTTTGCCCTCGTGGCCCTCTCGGAGTCCATGTGGGCGCCCTCTGGAACCTGGTGGGGGCCTTCTCTGGTCGTCTGGGTGCCCCCATTGCGCGCTGCAGAGCGGCGCTCCGGGGGCCTCTCTGGGCACTCGCTGGGCTCTCTCGGGACAGGACAGGACGTCGGCGCTCCAGGAGCGGAGCCGCGGAGGCACCGCGGAGGGAGGATAGCCAGTGGGCCCTTCCAATTAGCACGCGCGATGCCCAGCGTCGTAGAGATGATGATCTGTCGTCCGTCTCCAACTTCACTTTCCCGAGTTCCCTCAGTAGCGATCGCCTCCACGCAGCAGCGCGACGGTCGCAGGGCTCGCCCAGCAGCCACAAGGTCCACCGCCGCTGCCCGCCTTATCGCACGCGCTGACCCAAGAGTTGCAAGTGATGACGTTGGTCTCCTGCTTTGTCCCACACTTCTCGCTGACCAGCGCCAGAAACACTGCTGCAACTGCTCGCCCTTCTTGCAAGCGGCGCGCCGGTCCCAGCGCTGTAGCTGATTACGCTGGTCAATTCAGCTTCGCCTCACACACCTCGCTGCGCAACACCAATCGTGAGAGTCCGCCCTGGAGGAAACTTGGAAGCCCTCCCAAGCTAATCAGAGATATCTCGACCGCGCTCGCTCCAGAATTGTAGCTTTGGGTGTCTAGCTCCACCTTCCATGCAGACATATCGCCGATCAATGACAGTGCTCGCTGCCACTGGGCGCCTGTAGCGCACGCGCTGATTGTAATGTTGTAGCAAGTGCTGTCCACCTCCAGCCTTATCCGCCACCGCGCCGTGGGCACTGAGTGGAGTGTCATTGAGTCCCTCAGACTTAGAGTCCTCTCTGTAGTGGATGCCCTAAGTACTCTTTTAAGGGGCCTGCGCCCCCAGCCCACGGATTTTCTTGGGCGTTCCGAATAACTTCCGAGGTGCTCGGCACGACTTCCCCATCGCCAGAATTGAGTGAAACAACTTGTGTGTGCGTGTGTGCGTTTCAAGGTTTTCGGCCCCAGACGGGTGATCCGAACTGGTCACACAGGCCCTCTTGCGCCAAGATGGCCTCCGAAACTGCCAAGAGACTTTCAGAGGCGCTAAGAGGCCCCAAGACGCCGCCAAGAGGTTCCCTGAGGCCCCAAGAGGCCTCCCAAGATGCCTCCAAGGGGCCCCCAAGAGGCATTCCAAGATACCCCGCGCGGCATCCAAGAGAACTCTGATCCATAATCCAGGCACGGTGGACGGATTGGCCGAAGGCCACTATATACTACGCGCATCGCTGAACAACGACAACACCCACTGCCACTGCCCACTCTTCTCACATGCGCTCGCTCCGGCAGTGTGACTGACGATACTTGGCTCCAACGTGACCTTATACAAATCAGAGAGCAACAACAACGCCTGCTCCCACTGCCCGCTATTTGCGCACGCGCTCGTGGCAGCACTGTAGCTGATTACGTCTAGCTCCAACTTCGCTTCGTACGCTTCGCTGAATAATGTCAATGCATGCCTCCAATTTCCAGCTTTCTCGCACGCGCTGATTCCGGCATTGTAGCTGACTGTTACTAGGGCTGACCCGTGGACTACGTCCACGAAATCTGCACGAACTGGCACGTGGTGGTGGATATGCTCCTCCAGGGTTGGCATGATGACGTGGGGCTCGAACTTCGCTTTCCGCGCATGCTGCTGCGTGCTGCTGCTTGCTGCCGCTGCTGCGTGCTGTTGGTCATGCTTACCGCTACTGCCTGCTGTTGGTGCTTGTGGCTGCAGGGTGCTACTGGTGGGCCAGTTTTGCTTTGTGCCCGCCGCCGCCCGCTGCCTGCTCCTGCTTGCTGCTGCTGTGCGCTCTCGCTGCTGCTGCCCGCTTCGCGCTGCTGCCGCTCGCTGCTGCTGCTCGACGCTGCAGGGCGACGCGTCTCGCTGCTCCGGCGTTCTGGCGCAGCCGGCTGGCTGGGAGAGGATCGGAGACGAGGCGGCAGGATCGAGAGCGTCGAGGAGGTCTTGGGGGAAGCGATGGGCGATCAGCGGGCAGCGAGAAAGCGAGAAAGAGGAGCGACGGCCGCTGGGGAGATGGGCGAGGGGCGTCGAGGTTCGAGGAGGCTCGTCGTCCCTGCAAACCTCTGGGGGCTGTCTTCGCGTTCCGAGCTTGTAGCGTGTCACCGTTCGCCCTTGCACGCCGTGGCGCTCAGAGCTTCGTGCGTCATCCGGGCCCTCTTGGGACCCTCTGCGAGGCCTCCTGGGGGCCCCTCTGGGGCCCCTCTGGGCCTCTTGGGCGATTTTGGGGCTCCCTTTGGTCGTCTTGGGGTTACGTTGGAGGTCTGGGGCCGTCTCGGAGCCTGCTCGGGGCCCTCTTGGGGAACTCTTGGGGCACTCTGGGGGCCGACTTGGGGTCCACTTGGAACTCTCTTGGGCCGTCTTGGGGCTGTCTTGGCTGTCTTGGGCCGGCTTGAAGCGTTCTGGCAAGGCCCTGCAACCGTCTTGGGCCAATCTTGGGGCCAGATGGCGAGACCGTGAACATCCTTCAAAAACCATGGGGCAATCTATGATTTTGGTCGCCTCGGGCAGTCATGGGGGTTCTTCTGGGCCATCTTGGGTGGCTCCTGGCCTGTCTTCGGGCGCTCTTGTTCTTGGGCTGTCGGGGCGCCAGCTCGAGCGTCGCGGAGCGGTCGTGGGGCCTTCGTAGCGCCGTCTTGAGCGTCTCCGAGCCGTCTTGGGGCCTCTCCAAGCGCTTCTGGAGGCTCTCCGGGCGGGTCCCGAGGCTCGGGGCGCCCTCGGAAGCGCCTCGGAGCCACTCGGTGCAGAGACCCTTCTCGCGCCCACTTGCCCCTGCGTTGTAGAAGAGACTGCAGCTGACTGGTAATTAGAATGCCATTCGTGTGAGGTTACTCCCATGGTTACTCGCATGCGCACGTCGCAATGCACCACCTGCACGAACAAACTCGATCTCAACACGGCATGGTGGACACTGCGCAATGCTGCGCAAAAAATACCACAGAAGGCGAACTTGCTTGCGACACAGCACGCTGGACACACCGCAACACGTCACGGCACGGCACCGACGCAAAGGCATCCGAGAAGGCAGGCCTTTCTGCGATGAGGACCTGCGCTGTCTTGGGGTGTCTTGGGGCCCTCGTGGGGTCTCTTACGTTAGTTTGCGCGCTACTGCTCTTGGGCTGTCCAGATGCCGCCTTAGAGCTCTCGTCAGGCGATTTTGGGGCATCTTGGTTCTGCGCCGTCTTGGGGTGCCTGTTGGCCCTCCCAGTGCCCTCTTGATTCTCTTGGCGTCCGGAGGGGCCGTCTTTGGACTCTCCCTGGCGGTCTTCGCGCCTCTCTTGCAACAGTGTGGAGTTGCATTGGCAAGCTCTGGGGCACTCAGCGGCGCTCCGAAATACAACTTGGGCCGAACAACTTAGAACGCGAACACAGAACTAGAACAACATTTGCTTGTTGTTGCCGTCTGGGTCCTCTCTTGGAGTCTCTTCTGGGCTTTCTCGTGAGGCAAGTGCATCCTCTTCGGCCGTCTTGCAGGCCTCTGGGACCGCTTTCGTGGGCTCCCGAAACACTCTCGGGCCATATTGCCAGCCCAGTGGAGTTCTGGAAACACCCGGAAGCCCTCCAAGGCCACCAAAGCTCAGGAGGGCTCACTCGGTGTAGGATTTTTCTGTACGCAAGGGGCCCAGAATGTACATATAATAGTTACGTCTGGCTGCAACTTCGCCTGCAACATCTCCCGAATCAATACGAATGAATGCTCCCACAGGCAGACCTTCTCGCAAGCGCTGATTCCAGCATTGAAACTTATAACAGTCGGTTTCAACTCCACTTTGCGCATCTCGCAGAGCATCGATAATGCCCGCTGCCACTGTCCGCCTTTAGCATACACGCTGATTCCAGCATTGTAACAAATGGTATCTGGTTCCAGCTCTGCCCTATCCAAATGACCCAACAACGACAACGCCTGTTCCCACTTTCCTCCTTTCTCGCACGCGCTGATCCCGGCACTGTAACTGATGATGTTTGGCTCCACATTCGTATTCCACATCTCGTTAAACAGCATCATGGCCTGCCGCCACTGCCCGCTTTTCTCGCATGTGCTTATTCCAGCAGTGAAAGTAATAACATTAGGGTCTAACCTCCCCTTCGCCATCTGACCAAGTAGCGCAAGCGCGCGCTGCCACAGGCCATCTTTCTCGCACGCGCTGATTCCAGCGTTGTAGCTGAATGAGGGGGGTGACCGGCGAATTGTCAACGGCTTGCTGCGACATGTGCGTCGAGCGGAGTGTTATCACCCCTGCAAGCGAACACGTCAGGCTTGCGCGAAGTGCTGCCATGGGTCAGCGCTGGATAATATCAGCTGCGGGGCCACTTCGATGGCAACCCATCATGTTCGAAATACTGGAAAGAGTGGTGCGTGATATCTGGTGCTTATACGCAACCATCGGTATTCACAGGCGACCGCAGGTGTCACACTAAGTAATAGGTGGTGTGTCTCTCAAGCAGCAACCATCTACCAGACAGCCCCATTCTGGTCTCTGATCGGCAGGGTTGATATGGGGCGCGCCACTGCAATCAGCTGCAGACGCAATGCAAACTTCGCGGAGGAGGAGGATGCGGAGGATGCGGAGGATGCGGATGCGGATGCGGATGCGGAGGAGGAGGAGGAGGGGGAGGAGGAGGAGGAAAAGGAAAAGGAGGAGGAGGAGGAGGAGGAGGAGGAGGAGGATACTGGAAGCAGGTGGCCAGTGGAGCAGGAGGAGGAGGAGGAGGAGGAGGAGGAGGAGGAGGAGGAGGAGGAGGAGGAGGAGGAGAAGGCATTACAATGCTTTTGCAAACCAGTGCTGTCAATGTCCTCATTGCTGGCTGGCCTGGCCAGCCTGCAACACTTCCCCTTAACAGCGCAATTCCTTTCGTCGCAAGAGCCAACGTTCCCGACCGTACAGAAGCGGTGGAGCAGTCGAGCGGAGGTTGCAGTGGAGCCCAGTGCTAGACCTGGGCGAGGCCTAGCTAATTTTCTCTAGCCCCTCTGTTCTCTCGCCTCCCCGCTGCCGCTGGTTGCTCAACCCTCGCAGGAGAGGGCGAGCAGGAGGAGCAGGAGGAGCAGGAGGAGTCGGCGTTGCTGGCCCTGTCACTGCCGAGGCTAGGATGCTCGTCGCGACGAGGGGCGAAGACGAACGAAACAAAGGACGAGGAGGAGGAGGAGGAGGAGGAGGAGGAGGAGGAGGAGGAGGAGGGGGAGGGGAAGGAGGAGGAGGAGGAAAAGGAGGAGGAGGAGGAGGAGGCGGAGGAAGAGGAGAGAGAGGATCAGGTGGGATAAAGGGGAGAGAAGAAGGAGGCGGATAACGGCGAGGAAAAGGGAGAAAGTGAGGATGGGGATGAAGGGGAGGGAGGAGATGTGGGACGCAAGGAGGAACGGATAAGAGATGAGGAAACGGAGGAGGGGGAGGACGAAGAGGGAGGATGGAGGGACCAGCGGAGCAAGGAGGAGGATGGAGAAAGGATACGCGTGAGGAACGAGGAGGGTGAATTGGAGGACGATGAGGGGAGGAGGATGGGGAGGAGTATGTAGGAGAGGGAATGGGATGTGCTCCCCAGTTCTCCTCCTTGTCTTCCTCCGCTTCCTCCTCCTGCTCCTCCTGCTCTTCCTGCTCCTCCTCCGCGTCCTCCTCCTTCTCATCCTCCTCCTCCTCCATCATCTCCTCCTCCTGTTCTTCTTCTTCTTCTTATTCTTCTTCCTCCTGCTCCTCCTCTTCCCGCTCTTCCTCCCCCTTAGCCTCCCCACTCCTCCCAAGTCTCTCGCTCCTCCTTCTGCTGCCTTCCTCCTGCTCCCACCCCTTTTTCCCCTCGGGGCATCTCTGCCCATGGACCGCTGCGGACCAATCCGTCTCGATAGTTCCAATGCAGAGATGGGGTTGAGAGTTCCGGGCGTGACTCTGTTTTTGTTCTCGTTCTCTCTCTCTCTCTGTGTCTTTGTGTACGTAGTGTTTCCTTCACGACGTCGTGTGCTGAGGGAGGACTGGGAGGATGGGGAGATGGTGGAGGAGACTGAGGATGATGATGATGATGATGATGATGATGATGATGATGATGAGGAGGATAATGAGGAGTGATCAGGAGTCGCGTTATCAGGGAAGATGAGGAGGGTGCCCGTGGGGAACGTTCAGCAGGCTCATGAACTTTGTTGCTGCGTGTGCGTGAAGGTCGGGGGGAGGGGGAGAAGCGATGATGCGCAGAAGGGAGGACGCCCGGGGATGCGGCGCAGAGCTCAAGACAACAAGCTGACTCGGCTACGTCTGCGTTCGGCCTCCTCCTTCTGATGCTGCTGCTGCTCCTCCTCCGTCCTTCTTCCCCTCCCCCTCCCCCTCCTCCTCCTCCTCCTCCTCCTCCTTCTCCTCCTCATTCTTCTCATTCTCCTCCGCCTCCTCCTCCGCCTCTTCCTTCCCCCTCCTCCTCCTCCTCCTCCTTTTTCTCCTCCTCCTCCTCCTCCTCCTCCTACTTCGGGGACAATTGTATCCAGCAGTGGAAAACATATGGCATAACACTTGGCTCCAGCTTCACCTCCCGCAGCTCACTGAGCAACGCGAGCGCCTGCTGCCACTGATTGCCCTTGGCACACGCACTGATCCCAGCGTTGAAGGTGGGGACGTCCAGCTCCAACTTCACCTCACGCACATCAGCAAGCAGTGACAGCGCCTGCTGCCATTGCCCACCTTTCTCGCACGAGCTGACTCCCGCACTGTAGATCACTATGTTCGATTCCAGCCTCACATCGCACAGCTCACAGAGCAAAGACAACGAAAGCTGCCACCGCCCGCCCTTCTGGCACGCGCCGATGGCGGCGCCGTAGCTGAAGACGTCCAGCTCCGCCGCTGCCGCCGCCGCTTCGCCCAGCAACGACAGCGCCAGCTGCCACTGCGTGCCTTTCCCGCACGCGGCGACTGCCCCACCCAGCGCCCTTTTCGGAGGCTGCTACAGGTGCCCCTGGCTCTGGGTGCCCCCAGCTCTTCGTCGCTCCATCCTAGAGCCCCCGGGACCCTCTGGGCCTCGGGAGGGGTGCCCTCCGGAGGCCGTGGGGGCCTCCGTGGACACTCCGGGGGCACCTTGAGGGGCAAAGGCGCACTTCTGGCAACACCCGGCCTTCCCGCACGCCTCGCCGCGAGGCCGGGGGCGGCGCCGGTCTGGGGCCCTGGCCGCGCTGCCCTCCAGAAAAGCTCGAGGGCCGCGGCCCACGGCTGCGAGCTGCCGAAGCTCCGGGCGGCGGCGGGGGTCCCCGCGGCGCACATCGCGAGGGGCCCAGCGGCGCCGGGGGCAACGGCGGCCAGAGGGCTGTACGGCGGTGCCGAGCGGGTGTCACGACTTGCCCTCGTGAGGGTCGCCCGAGGCCCGCACTTTCACCCCCTCCTGCTCCTGCTGCGCTTCCGGCGGCAGCGAGAACAGACGCCTAGGCCTGCTGCTCTCCATTCTCTGCGTCTGTGTTCATTGTGCTCTCTCCCCTCTCTACTCTTCCTTTCTGATCTCGTGGCTCTCTTCACTCTCTTTGCCCTCGAGGCTTGATCAGCCCTCTCTCTCTCTTTTTCTCCGTCTCTCTCTCTCTCTCTCCCTTTCCCTCTGTTTTTTACATCTCTCTGTCTCCCTGCCTCTGTCTCTGTGTCTCTCTCTCTCTCTCTCTTTCCCCTCTCGCGATACGCAAAGAGAAGCGTGACGGTGTACTAAAGAACAGAGGGGACAAAGATGCCAGACAAACGTGCGATATCAGCTCGAACAAAAAAGAGGGGGAGAGAACGATATATATATACATTATATATATATATATATATATTACCACCGGGAGTATAGGAAGGAGTAGGTGGAGAAAGTAGACATACGAGATAACACACCTTGCCATTTGCCATGAACAAGTCTGGGTTGCATTCTTCGGCGATCTTTGAATGTGCTACGGTGCTCCAGAGCTTCTGTGGGTCCCTGCGGCAATCGGGGAATAAGACATTTCCTCGGGGCACCAGCCGGCAGCCAATTTTCTTATTACATGTGTCTACGGTAGCCGAGAGGGCGGCGATCATCTCAGAAAAAGCGAGAGTGCGAGAGAGAGCGAGGAAGGCAGGGCTATCTCACGTATAATCAGAGATGTGCATATATACGGAGGGCTAAAGCGATACACCCGACGAGTCATGCATACACGTGCATTTACACACATACATATGTATGTATGCATAGTTGTATATGCATACGCATATGCTGTGTGTTTGTATATATATATATATATAAATAAAATACACTAGAAACCACAAGCGCGCTTAAGTTCTAGCGCAAGCCAGGGAAGTGTTACAGCACAGTGGGATCATCCGCCTCCCCATTTTCGGGGATGACGGGCGAGAGAGGGGAAGAGACAGGGATGATGAGTTTGGGTGAAAGCGTCAGCCGACCACCGCTTGCCCGGGATGACAAGGCGTGTGAGACATGTGGGTGTCCCACTCCCCTTTGCCCCCTCCCCAGGGGTCCAACATTGGATTAGAGGGGGGAGGGGCGGGGAGGGGGGTAGACGAGCTGCTCAACGCAACCCCTAGGTTTCCAGAGCCTCCAAAGAGCCTCAAAGTGGCCCAAGAGAGCCCAAACAGAGCGCCACCACAGCCCAAGAGAGAATCGGATCGATCGTGAGATTGATAGTGGGAACAGTACTGAGATCGATCGTGAGACCGATTGAGCGAGATCAATGGTGAGATCGATCGTGAGATCGATTGCAACTAATAGTGATGTAGATGGTCAGATCGACAGTGAGCTCGATCGTGAAATCGACCGTGAGATCAATATAGTGATTTCGACAGTGAAACCGATAGTGAGGTCGATGGCGATCGGTTCTGATGTCGACAGAGAGGTCGTAAGTGCGATCGGTAGTGCGATCGGTGAAGCGAGATCGACAATGAGATCGATAGTTACATCGACTATGTTTTTTGTTCCTTTGCAAAGCTTGCAAGAGGCAAGCACGCAGATGTGCCCATCGTGAATACTGGCGAAAAACCAGAGGCACTTCCGTCGCACGCGCGAGGAATAGGAACTTGAGAGGGGAAAAGGGAAGTCGTACTGATGTGCACCTGGAAGCGCCAAATACATGCTTCTCGTGATCGCAACGTGTAGCCCTTTGCTACGGCACACCAAACAATGATGTGCATCGCGAATTCGCACGCTGCACCCGTCCCCTGAACCAAGGAAAACCGAGTCGTGAGATCGATAATGGGACCGATCGTGGGATCGATAATGAAACCGATTGCGGTATCGATCGCCAGATCTTCAGTGAGATCGATAGTTGGATGGATTGTGAGATGATCGATGGTGGGCTCTACAGTGAGATAAACAGTGATTCCGATTGTAGACCGATTGAGTGAGATCGATTGAGTGAGATCGAGTGAATGAGATCGGTTGGGTGAGATCGATCGTGACATCGTTTGAGTGAGGCGTTGGTTCCTCCCCCCACAATATCCTTATCACCCGAAAGGTGGTCGTGTAAGCCAATCAGGTCTGCTGCGGCTGCAACTGCATCCCGGATGAGGGCTGTCGTTGCCCAAGATGGGGATTGCGGCTGCATATCGCGAGAGAAGCACGGGGCACGCAGAAAGAACCGACGGCCTGACACTTTGGTCGGACGACGGAAAGAACTACTCCACACGTAAGGCTTATTAGGAGTCTCGCGAGCCATCCTAAGGGGAAAGGAGGGACGCAGGAAAGGGAAGACGGGAGGCGGGAAGGAGCAGCAAGGAGGAAGCACGAGGATCAACTGGGAAAGACGGGGAGCGACTGGACGAGACGAGGAGCGAGGGACGGAGAAGCTAGGATACCTTCTGTGGCTTTCATGGACTCATGGATCCATCTCTGACTACAGGCAATACAAGCCCTTCTGATGAACCTCTTCTGACTCTCCAGCGACCCCCTGGGCGGCATCTCGAAGACCACTGGGGCCCTCATGGGCTCCTGGGGCCACCTCTGACTACAGGCAACATAGAACAGAACTCTTTATGAAACTGAGGCCACCCTTCTGGGGAACCTCTCATGACTCTCAAGCGACCCTTCGGGCGGCATCTTGGAAACCACGATGGCCCTCTTGGGCTCTCGTTGTGCAACGTAAGACCCCTATTGCTACATATCGGAACACTATCGGGCCATCCAAGGGGCCTCCAGGGGCAGTGGCTGGATCCGTCGGGTGCCCTGAGTCTTGACGCCGCTTGGGGGCCTTGTGGAGGTCTCGCGGGTCATCTAGGGGTCGAAGGCTGAAAACGACAGTTCGCGTTCCCCCTCTTGGATCTCTATTGGGTCCCTTTTCGGGCTCTCTTGGGCCATCCTGGGGCCTCCTGGGTCGTCATGGGACACTCCTCTTGGGCCGTCTTGGCGCCGTCTTGGGCCGTCTCTGGGCGATCTTGGGGCCTCTGTGGCCGTCGCGGGCGCTGTTCAGACCAACAGGGCGGATCTGTTCAACATGCTAGCTTGCATGATGATTGGGGACGGCATACCTTTCTTGGGAACCTCTGAGGGGTCTTCTTTGAAGGGCCCCAGGACACACAAATAAATACACACAATTTAAATTACCCCCCAGATTTTCCCACATTTTTTGAGTTTTTGTCTCCCCCCTACTTCCCATATTTTCCCATATTTTCCTGGGGGTGGACGATTAATTGTGCCTGTGTTTTTTTTCCCCTCCTGATTCTTGGGACCCTCTTGGGGCGTCTTTTGGGCTGGTTAGGCGGTCTGGAATGCTTCCCTTTGGGGCCCTCCCGAGCCGTCCTGCGGACCTCTTGGGGGGCCTCTCGGGCGGCCTTGTGGCGATCTAGGGGGCCTCTTGGGCCGTCTTGGACTCTCGCAAGACCCCAGGGGCGAATCTGCGGAACAGGCACATTGTCCTGAAGAAAAGGGGCAAGTTTGGGCCTTCTGGAGCCCCCTCGTGGAACAGATTGGACCTTCTTGGGGCGCATTGGATCTCGGGCCTTCCTCGATGGTGACGACGACGACGACGCAGACGACAGAACGTAGACGACAACGACGATGACGACGACAGCGACGACACGGCTGAGGGGGCTATGAAGTGATGAACGGACGGTGACTGTATCCACCCACAGTTCACATCATCATTGAAAACCCGCCGCCAGGATATGTCCTTATATCATGTATGGGCGTGCAGGCACGGTGCTCACTCGAGCGCTGAAGGCTGAGGGCGGATGCGTGCCTCGCGACGACGGCGTGGTTATCCAAACATAGATTTCGCTGCTTCACTGTCGGCCCGCGCATAGGGATGAAAGATCGTTTCACATGCTGCTTGGCTGGCTGACGACGACGACGATGAAAGAAAGGAGGAGGAAGTGCAGGGCAATATTTTGGAAGCTTGTGGCGTGTTGGGAGCCTCTCGGGACAACGTGCGTTTCCTAAACTCCGCTTCGGCTTTCCCCGAGCCGTCGAAGAAGCGTCGCGGGACATCTTTATCTTTGAACCGTACTGGGCCTCTCTTGGGGCTTTCGGGGGCGTTGAATATCAGTGTGTTCAATTGGACTCGGCCATCTTGAGCTTCCCTTGGTGCCCATGGGCGAGCCCAAGATCACTGCCCCAGGTACGCATGCGCCCCAATGACCCCAGGGGCGCCCTCGTGGCCCCCAAAGTGGCCCCGTTGGCGCACAAATGGCATACAAATTGGTACGACAATCTACCAGATCCGTCCATCACACCCCGAGAGCGCCGAAGATGCCTTGTGAACGGCCTCCGAAGGCTTCCAGCCTGCGCCAGGCCGCTCCCAGCAAGGCTTCAGTGGGCCCCCGAGGCCCCAGACTAGAGCCCCGAGAGGTAAAGATCTGTAAGTCCCTTGGAATTTTCATGTTTTTTGGGGTCTGGAGACAGATGCGGTCGTCTGGCAATGATTTTCCGGCGACTCGGGCGCAACTCGGTGCCCTGTTGGGCTGTTCTGGAAATGTTGTGGGGTGGCTTTGGAGCCTTTTGAACGCTCTGGGCGTGCCTGGGGGAAGCACCTGAAACCGTCTTGACGCGGGTGGTGGTGCTTCTGGGGCTGGGTTGGAGCGTTGGCAAGCCGAAAAGGCGGAAGAAGACTCCCAAAGCATCAAACCCGACGGAAATTTATGATCGTTGCTTCTTGTGGCCCTCTTGGGGGCCGCCAGGGCTTGCTTGAATCGTCTGGGACGCGGTTGGGTCGTCTGGGAGCCCTCGTGGAGCGCCCTGGGAGCGCGGTGGGCCCCCTGGAGGCGACCGCGGGCGGGCGTCTGGGAGTGATTTTCTGGCGCCCCAGAGGCGCCCCGAGAGCCTCGAGCCGCCTCTCGGGCACCCTTGGGGCCCCTGGGCCCCCCACGCGCCGTCGAGCCCCTGGCCCCGGTCCCCCCGGCATCGTGGACAGGAGTGTGGCAGACGACGGGAGCAGCGGCGGCGACGACAACGGCGCCGTGACTACGAGGACGACGACGACGACGACGTCTGCGACGACTGTCACGACTACGACGACGACGACGAGGGGACAGAGAGGAGACCCCCAGGAACCCCCGAGGGAAGCAACGAGCCCCACGGCCACGACGGCGTGCTTCTGCCCATCTCAGCGCACCCATCACACAGATTGGAGCCAGAAGGACACGGTTTCACGTGCCCCGTTGTGGGAGGATTCGCATAACATCACCTCCCTCTAGGGCGATTGGGTTTCTCACGTGAATCGTGTCCCACTGGGATCTCCACGGAGAGTCCCAAAGCCAACGTTCGTGTGCCGCCCTCCCGCCCATGGCGGTACACCCCTGACCTCGACCGTGAGCTCGGGGTGTCTTGGCTGCTTCCCGGCGCCCGCAGCATGTTTCTGTGGGGCCTCTGGGAGCCCTGAGATGGATCTTGCAGGACGTGGACGCGAGGCCTCCCATAAGCTTGCGGGGGCCTACTGGGACGCCTCACGGGAGCCTTTTGGAAGCATCGTGGGAGTCTCTGGGACCTCTTCGGGCATTCCTTGGGAGTCCTTTGGGGTCTTTTTTGGCCCGTCTGTGGGCCCTGTTCGGCCGTCCCAGGCCCCTCTTGGCCCGCCATGGGGGACTGAGGCCGCCTTGGGGCCCTTTTGGGGTCCTCTCCGACCGTGTGGGGATCCTCCGGTAGGGGCTTCCTGGGGCCTCTCTTGGGCCGTCTTAGAGCTCTCTTGTGCTGCTTGAAGCTCTCTTGAGGCCGTCTTGGGGCCCTCTTAGGGGCCTACTGTAAGAAAATCAAAGATGTTGACCTCTTCGGGCCTTCCTGGAGGCCTTGTTGGAGGCCTCCCGTGCCGTCTTGGGTCATTTTAGGGCCATCTTGGGTCGTCTTGGTGGGCTCCGGGCCCGTCTGACGCCGACTTGGAGCCCCCAAAGCCCTTGGGGTGATCCAGGGCCGTCTTGGAGGCCATCGTGGGCGTCCTGGAAGCCTCTTGGGCCGTCTTGGGGCCCTTTGGGGGCCGTCTTGGGGGCCTCTGCGGCCGTTCTGGAGCCATCCTGGAGGCCTCTTGAGCGATCTTGGGGCGATCTTTGGGGGCTCTCGGGCCGTCTCGAGCCGTTGGAAGGCCGAAAAGAAGAAAACGCCGAAATCCCGCAAAAACCTAAGGACTCTTCGGGCCTTCCTGGAGGCCCTCTTGGATGCCTCCTGGGCCGTCTTGGGCCATCTTAGAGCCATCTTGGGCCGTCTTGGTGGGCTCCTGGCCCGTCTGACGCTGTCAGAAACTGTCTTGCCGGCCTCTCTGGGCCGACTTGGGGCCCTCTTGGGGTACTCCAGGACCGTCTTGGAGGCCATCTTGGGCGTCTTGGAAGCCTCTTGGGCCGTCTTGGGGCCCTTTTGGGGCCGTCTTGGGGGCCATCTTGGGCCGTTCTGGGGACATCCTGAAGGCCTCTTGGGACGATCTTTTGGGGCGATCTTTGGGGGCTCTCGGGCCGTCTCGAGCCGTTGGAAGGCAGACAAAAAGCAAATGCCCAAATCCTTGAAAAACCTGGGGAAGATCAATGATGTTGGCCTCTTCGGGAATTCCTGGGGAGGCTCTCTTGGAGGCCTCCAGGGCCGTCTTGGGCCTCTTAGAGCCATCTTGGGCGGTCTTTGTGGGCTCAAGGCCAGTCTGACGCCGACTTGGGGCCCTCTTGGGGTACTCCAGGGCCGTCTTGGAGGCCATCTTGGACGTCTTGGGAGCCTCTTGGGCCGTCTTGTGGGGGCCTCTTGTGTCGTTCAGGGGCCATCCTGGGAACCTCTTGGGCGATCTTGGGGCGATCTCTGGGGGCTCTTGGGCCGTATCGGGCCGTCGGAAGGTCGAAAAGAAGCAAATGCCCAAATCCTTCAAACATCCAAAGCAAATCAATGATGTTGGCCTCCTCTTGGAGGCCTCCTGGGCCGTCTTGGGTCATCTTAGGGCCATCTTGGGCCGTCTTGGTGGGCTCAGGGCCCGTCTGTCGCCGACTTGGAGCCCCCTTGGGGTGCTCCAGGGCCGTCTTGGAGGCCATCTTGGGCGTCTTGGAAGCCTCTTGGGCTGCTTGGGGCCCAGGGGCGATCGTTGGGGGCTCTTGGGCCGTCTCGGGCCGTCGGGAGGCCTAAAACAGCAAATGCACAAATCCTTTTAAAAACCTACGGAAAATCAATGACGTTGGCCTCTTCGGGCATTCCTGGAGCCCCTCTTGGAAGCCTCCTAGGCCGTCTTGGGCCACCTTGGAGCCATCTTGGGCCGTCTTGGTGGGCTCAGGCCCCGTCTGACGCCGACTTGGAGCCCCCTTTGGGTGCTCCAGGGCCGTCCTGGAAGCCATCGTGAGCGTCTTGGAGGCCTCTTGGGCTGCTTAGGGCCCTTTTGGGGCCGTCTTGGGGGCCTCTTGGGCCGTTCTGGGGCCATCCTGGAGGCCTCTTGGGCGATCTTGGGGCGATCTTTGGGGGCTCTTGGGCCGTCTCGGGCCGTCGGAAGGCCGAAAAGAAGCAAACGCTCAAATCCTTCAAAACCGAAGGAACATCAACTATGCTGGCCTCTGCGGGCCTTCCTGGAGGCCCTCTTGGAGGCCTCCTGGGGCGTGGCGGCGTGGTAGCAACGTGTGAAAATGTGTGGCGGTGACGAGGTGGTAGTGGCACATCGACGCGCAATATGTATTCATAGTCGCGGCTGTGATGCCAACTCCGAAGCGGCAGTCGTTGCTTCCGCCAACTTCGACAGAAATGGGCGACCACCAACTCCACAACAAGTGGCATGACAACACGGAACGGTCGATCAGGGAATCTGTGCATGCGCCTGGTAGTTAGTTTTCCCAGATCACTTACGTTGGAAACGCCTCCTCCTCCTCTTCCTCCTCCTCCTTCTTTTTCCCCTCTCTGTGCATTCCGCGGCGCCCGTGGTTATCAGAAGACCGTGGCATATATATATATATATATTTATGTTTTAGATGTGGTGTGTTTGCAGGGTTTCATGTACAATGCATTCAATGCCCTCTGGCTCTACAGCTCGTTCGGTGTCGCTCTTTCCGCCCACATACTGACAGCGATATCTATTGGCTTTCGGCCCATAACGATGCCTCTTGGAAAGCTTTTTGAAAGCTGCTGGGAGCAAAGCCGTTTGGGTCCTCTTGGGGGCTTTGGCGGGGCCTCTTGAGGGGAGTCTCGGAGGCCTCTGGAAGGCTCTTGGGCTATCTTGAGGCGGAAGGCTCCAAATCATTGTTCGAGTTCCCCTTCTGGGCACCCTGTTGGGGGCCGTCTTGGGGGCGTCTTGGGCCATCTTGGGGCCCTTCTGGGCGGTCTTGGGGGTCTCGTGGTCCGTCTCCGGGCCCTCGGTGGAGCCTCCTGGGAAGTTTTGGGGCAAAGTTTGGGGTCTCTTGGGCCGTCTTCGAGGCTTGGGATCCCGAGCGCGCGAGGACGCCAACATCGTGCAAAAACCGACAGAGAATCCATGATTTTGGCCCCCTTGGGGCTCTTTTCGAAGTCTCCTTGGGGCTTCCTGGGGGCCTCTCGGTTTTTTTTGGGGGTTCTTGGGGGGGCCGCTTGGGGGCAATGTTCGAGCGATCTTGAACCCTCTGGGCTCCCCGGATCTCCCATGAAGGAGGTTGGGTCTACGCCCCGGGGCATCTCCCCTGTTACCCCGGATATATCTATATATATATATGTGTATACATATACACACTCGCATCGGCACTTATGTATGCGTATACACACATATATACCATACGCATACATATCTGTATGTGTGTGTGTATATATATATATATATGTATGTATATTCATACATAGGTTTATACACATACGTATACATACATGGTACATCCACACTCACACGTGCGTACAACAACATTTGTGTGACACATAGCTAACATATAAATATGCACGCGTATACGTATATACATATTAATTTATATACATGCATAAACATATGTTTATAGCTTGCTGCTATCCTCTCCTAAGAGCGAGGCCCCCTCGCCCCCCCCCCAATATCGCCCCCCAAAGAAGGGCCTCCCAAAGACAGCGATGCCATCGTGGAACGACTGGAACAGAAACGAGAACGCCTGAGCGCACATGGTCGATGTTCACGGGGGCTCATCACTGTTCGCACACGGAATCTTGATTACGTGACAAAGAAAGCCTCGGGCCTGCGAAGGCCTCTCTGTTGCGGCGTCGAAGGCACCTCGAAGGCCCTCGTCTCCCAAATCTTCTCTGGGTGGGTCGCCGAAGACGAGAGGGCACATGGGGGAAACGGATCACATCGGCGGGAAGGGCGAGCCAGCTTGGTTGCGGCATCGTTTGTCTCCCCTCCATGGTGTTGCACATGCGCTGACAAAGCAAAACGCTCTTTCAGAGTACACTACATCATTTCTATAGCTTGCTGCTCGACCCTCCCAAGGGCGAGGCCCCCTCGCCCCCCCCCCCCAAGAGCGGCCCCCAAATAAGGGCCTCCTAAAGACAGCGATGCCATCGCGATGCGACAGGAGTACAAACAAGAGCGCTTGAGTGCATATGATGGCTGCTCATGTTTACGGGGACTCATCCTTGCTCGAGCAGGTAATCTTGATTATGAAAGCCTCGGGCCTGCGCAAGCCTGTCTCTTGCGGAGTCGAAGGCACCTCGGACGCCGTCGTCTCCCAAAACGTCCCATTCCACGCTGGCCTCGGGCTTCATGGTGAAGGAGGTGTCGTCGGTGAGGTAGCGGGGGGCTCGAAGTAACCGACGGGGTTGTAGGCGGTGGCGACGAGAAAACCCTCCAACGAGCCCACATTAGCCCAGCGCTCCTGTACTAAATTCAATAGCAAACTCCAATATTGAAAAAGAGAGCGAAGCCCAAATGGCCAGGTCACCGACGGTATGCCCAGTGCGTCCTCGATCTCGTCAACGCTCAAGTCCATGTGTGGGGGGCTGCTGGCCTCGGCGAGGATGCCAAGGAGGGTGGTGCCAATCTCCTCCGTTAGCGGGCCGACGTCGTAGCCCATCACTTCCCACCAGGGGTCGGCCCAGCGTGGCATGAACGAGATGTTGAATGTAGCCCAAACCATGGAGACGTGGCCCGTTCTCAAGAAGCGAACTTGCAATCCTATCGTCTGAAAGGTGCCATGCGTACTGATGCTGCCTGGCGCGGACCATTGGTGGTGGCTGTCCGCGAGCGGCCGCCCTGGCGCGATGATGTCGACTGCCTTCAGGAGCTCCTCCAATTATTCAAACTGTAGCTGGAGGATCTGGGACCCCGCCTCGCTACTCAGCAGGGCGGGGATGTCCTCCTGGGCGTCGAGGGAGAGCCTGCCCGAGCGGGTCACAACGGTGACATTCAGGAGGTCGTGGCCCTTCCATGCCGTCCGGCCCAGCGTCAGTGTGTCGTCAGTGATGGCACCCACGAAGAGGGCCGTTGAGCCAATGACGATCGGGCCCGACGCCAAGACCTGGTTGGCCGCCCCGCCGACGCCCTCGACGAGTTCGGTGACGGCCTGCCCTCCTCGCGCCGCGGCGGGGAAAACTGCGGCTGGGAGGGCCGCCGGCGCGGCGAGGGTCATGGCGAGGATCCTGGCGGTCGCGCCTGGTGCTCCTGCGAAGTCCTTGGCCCGCGCCCAGGCGCCGCGGCGGCGTTGGCGCTGCGGTCCAGGCGGCGGCGGCGCGCCCCAAGGCTCACGCAACACTGCAAGGTAAAAGGCTTGTGGTTCTTAAGGGCTACTATGGGTCCGAATCCCCGGTTTCCCAGGCGGTCTTGGGCGGTCGTGAGCGCTGCCGGATTGTGTCGCCAGAGCTTTGGGGGCGTCGAGAGAACCCCAAGACGGGCCAAGAGAACCCTCAGAGGCCCCAAAGACGGCCGACGAGGGTCTGGAGTCGTCGAACGATCGGTCCAAGACGCCCAAGGTGGCCGCCAGACGGCCGAATATGCCCCCAAGACGCTCCAAGAGGCCTCCCAAGAAACAATAGCCTGACGAGGGACCCAACCATATGCAGGTGTGAGTACCGCAATAATGATTCACTTTTTCGGTGGCGATCCCTATGAGGCAACGAACCGTGCTAGGGGTGTGCCGACATGAGTGGCGTGGTACACAACGCGAACGAAAACGATTGATCTGAGTACGTAGGGAGACTGAGCGCGGGTGAATCTGCGCGCGTGCGTCTGACTGTGAATGAATCTGCGTGCGAGCGAGTCTACGTGCATGAATGCGAATATGACAAAGCGTGGTGCAATTGTGTATGCATGTCAATAGTTTGACAATGACTGCCTCTGAGTACTCGTGACGCTGGGCGTGGCCGCCGCAAGGAGCTTCCCCGTGACTCCCCGACGGCATCGCCCGCGCGCCGCGACGCGCATGTCGGCGCGCCCCCCCGCGAGGATCGCGCCCGCTTCCTCCCCATCCTTTACTCCCTCTTTGCCCGCGCACTCAAAAGTCCAAGGCTGCGGGCGCAGCGCAGCGCGGAGTCCCCGCGACGCGCGCAGGTCGCCCCGGAAGGGGTCCCAGCGACGCGCGCGGGTCGTCCACTGCGCGGAGCAAAGAGAGCTAGCTGGCTGGCTGATAACGGACAAGGCTCTTGCCGCTGGGCAGAGCGACGACGGGACGCATGCGGGCACACCCACTGGGACCTTCGGTGGAGCTCGCTATGGGGCCACGGAACGTGTGAGGGATGTGCCGAAATGGGTGTGCGGGACGAATGCGGGCACACCCACTCGGACCTTCGGTGGAGCTCTCTATGGGGCCACGAAACGTGTGAGGGGTGTGCCGAAATGGGTGTGCGGGACGCATGCGGGCACACCCACTGAGACCTTCGGTGGAGCTCCCTATGGGGCCACGAAACGTGTGAGGGGTGGGCCGAAATGGGTGTGCGGGACGCATGCGGGCACACCCACTGAGACCTTCGGTGGAGCTCCCTATGGGGCCACGAAACGTGTGAGGGGTGTGCCGAAATGGGTGTGCGGGACGCATGCGGGCACACCCACTGGGACCTTCGGTGGAGCTCCCTATGGGGCCACGAAACGTGTGAGAAATGCGCATCACACCCACTGGGACCTTCGGTGGAGCCCCTATGGGGCCACGAAACGTGTGAGGGGTGTGCCGAAATGGGTGTGCGGGACGCATGCGGGCACACCCACTGGGACCTTCGGTGGAGCTCCCTATGGGGCCACGAAACGTGTGAGGGGTGTGCCGAAATGGGTGTGCGGGACGCATGCGGGCACACCCACTGGGACCTTCGGTGGAGCTCCCTATGGGGCCACGAAACGTGTGAGGGGTGTGCCGAAATGGGTAATGACGATGATGATGGTGGGAGGAGGAGGAGGAGGAGGAGGAGGAGGAGGAGGAGGAGGAGGAGGAGGAGGAGGAGGAGGAGGAGGAGGAGGAGGAGGAGGAGGAGGAGAGGAGGAGAGGAGGAGCGGAGGAGAGGAGACGCGGGCCACCGTCTCTTCAAAACGAGGACCCAACACCACAGGATGGTTGGGAAAAAACAAAGACTTTCCTTGGATGTTTGAAAGATTTGATCGTTCTCGCCTTTTCTGCTTCCCGACGCTCCAAGACGGCCTAAGAGACCTTACAAATCGCCCCAAGACGACCCGGCCAAGATGGCGTTGAAACGGGTCAAGGGTAGCCCAAGACGGCCCCAGAGGCCCCCAAGACGGCTCCAAGAGGGGGCCCCGACGGGGGACCCGAGTGGACATTTCGAGCTCTCGGTGCCAGGTGGTCCCCAGGAGGCCCCCAAAGGCCTCCGAGAAGCCGCCAGGAGCCCCCAACAGGCCCCGAAGAGGCCACCAGGACCCCCAAGGGGTGCCCAAGAGGCTCCCCATGAACCCCCCAGAGGCCCCCAGGAGCCCCCCGAACTGCCCCCCAAAGGCCCCGAGAGCGCTCCCAAGAGATCTCAATAAGAATCCCCAAGGGCTCAGACCCACATGCCAGGCGCGGTGGCAGGATGGGCCGTAGGCCATCAAATGTATGTATATAAGTAAGAGTCCGCCGATCTGGCGTGAGTTTACGAAAGCTACAACCTGAGCTTCAGCTCAGCTGGGGGGGGGCCGGGGTGGCTCTGCCGGGGTAGGGGGGGGAGGGGGAAGGGTTCATGGGGTCCACCCTGTCTCCCCCCCCCCCCCCCCCGGGAATCCCAAACCGCCCCAAGACGGGCCAAAAGGGGCCCAGGAGGCCACCAAGACGGCCCAGGAGGCGCCCGAAACGGCCCTAGAGCGCCTCTGGACGCCCAAGATGGCCTGAAGACGGCCCAAGAGGCCTCCAAGACGCCTCAAGGAGATCCCAAGAGGACCCCCACGAGGGCCCCAACAGGGTACAATAATAAAGTTGCTAATGAGTTTTGAAACAATTTAACATTATCGCTTTTTCCGTCTTACAAGCGCCGAAAACGGTCCAAGAGGCCCCCAATATCGCCCCAAGACAGCCCAAGAGGCCCCCAAGAGCAGCCAAAACGGTCCAAGAGGGCCCCAATATAGCCCTGGAGGCCCCCCAAGACGACCCCGAGAGGCCCCCAAGATGGCCTCAAGAGGGTGAATCCGAACGGACCCTTCTAGTCCTCCACCCCAAGATGACCCCAAAAGCCCCCAAGATGCCCCTGAGGCGCCCCCAAGGGGCCCCCAGAACCCCCCAAGAGGACCCCAAGAGGCCCCCGAAGAGGACCCCGAGAGGCCCCCAAGAGGTCCCAAAGGCCCCCAAGAAGCACCAAGAACCAAGAGGCCCCAAGAAACGCTCACTCGCGTGCTGCCAGGCCAGGAGGTGCACGGCCTGACTTGGTATTGCTCGGAAGCGAAAGCGATGAACGAAGAACCTTCCGCCCGTCGCTGTCACCAATCGTCGGTCGTCGGCCGTCGGCAGCCGTTCGTCGTCAGTCGTCGTCGTCGTCGTCGTCGTCGTCGTCGTCGTCGTCGTCGTCGTCGGTTCGTCGTCATTAACTCCTTCGTCGGTCGTCGTCGAAATTATCCCGCTCGTCGACCGTTGGTCGTCCGTTGTCGTCGTCATCGTCCATCTCAACAACAATAGCATCAGGAGCGCCCCGGATCGGCGGCACTGGCCGGAGGCCACTACAATGTACGTATGTATGTATATGTATGTGTATATGTATGTATATACATATGTGTGCACATATATTGTACATCAATATAGCACGATGGCGAACAGAAGGGGCACATATCTCTATGAACACACACATATATATGTATATAGGCATACATATAGGCATACATCTGTATTTATGTATGTATGTATGCATGTATGTATGTATTTGTGCATGTATGTATGCACTTATATATATATATATATATATATATATATATATATATATATATATGCTTATATCCATACGTATGTATATATGTATGTCTGTATGTAGGCATATGTATCTGTAAAT